TTTATAAGGCAATAAAATATAATTCGTAAACAGTTAACTGTAAATAATGCGTGTTTCGATTCTAAATTTAAGTTTTCCTTGTGCGAAAATCAAGTACAAATTACTATGTAGTGTGTAATAATATGTTACATGTAATATATGTAAAATTATATAAGTTGCCAAATAATACTCTTGAGATTTCCATGGGCACTTTCCATACAAATATTATTCATAACCCGTTTCGCGGGTTAATTCTATGTCCAAATCCATTCTTAGAATACCAACGTTTCATGAACATTCACTTCATCAAGGCGGGCAGCAATCTAACTGAGTATCATACTTTTTTAGTTCTGAATTACTCAATATCTAATATATAAACTTTTTTTAGCACGACATTGATATTAAAGAAATTCCTGTCCTTTAATATGAGTTTAATATACTTGAATAATATCTTTCTCTTCTGTTTTGTCGACATCGTTTTCATAAACGCAGTAAGTAAAAACTAGTATACACACATAACACTAATTATTTTAGAAATACTTTTTATTGCTCGAAGATAAAAGATTTAATATTATTTATATTAGTAAAAAATAGATAGAGAAGTTTTCAATAAAATGATAAATGAAGTGGGCCTTATTTGATCAAAGCATATCTTATTTAATAATATTTTTGTGAATAATATTTTGCTTGAACTTGTAATTAAAATTTACTGATAACAAAAAATTACACAAAATAATTATTTGCTAAGATCCACTTTAACTGAGTATGGTTCTATCATTTGTGTTAAATATTAATAAATTATCACATAAATTACACAGTAGAAACCATTTAGTATTTCTGTTAAAATGAATACATGTTAAAATTTTTGTGTTTATTGAATTTTTAACATATCCGAATTTTAATTTAACATAATATGATTGTTATTATTTGAATATTTTGTTTTAAATAAAAATTTAACATTTCTCAGTGTTAAAATAACACAATTTATAGGTAAGTAAACAAATAACATAAAAATAATGTAGTTTTAAAATATAAATTCTAAGAATTAATGAATAAAATGTGTATGCTGCTTTAATATGTTATAAATTTACTGAAGAAATATGTTCTGTACAGCAAGTTGCATATTTTATATATAAAAAAGTATAGATATTTTGTATTATTTTTTCTTTATAACAGTACCTACTAACAAGACAACGTCGAAATGACGTGAAAAAAACTGTGATTTTAATAACGGTGATGTCATGTGACTTAAGTCGGACATAATTGTCACGTGATTTTAACCCTTACCGTACAAGGTACAATTTGATGCCTCAGCCGTCCAAATATGGATCACTAGAATCCGTTCGTTTTTTCACCTATTCAGAATAATTCAAAAAATTCACCTACATACTTTCAACTTTTTAGAATAAATATTTAAACTTTATTTTGGAAAATAATAAAATGTAATATAATTTATAATTATCGAAAGATTCATAAGTTGGGAAAAAATAGGATTTGATTTTAAAAAATATAACTTTTCATAATAAACGAATATAAAAAAATGAGTCCAGATTTTGTAGTTTAGATATGAAGTTTTGAAAAAAAAAATACTAAAACTTTGAATTCTATAAAAAATTGAATGATTTAAGCACATAAATATGAGTAATTTTTAACAAAGAAAAAATAGGAAAAGTAGAGTTAAAATATACATTTAAATTTTGTTGTAAAATAATGTATTGTTTAATGAAAAAGAAATATAAAATGTAAATACACATTTAGATAATTATGTAAAAAAAGGCGTAACTTATCTAAAAAATAAATAATCCCTTTAGAAAAAAATTTTTTTAATAAAAATGAACATTGAGACATTAATTTAGATTAAAAAAAAGAATATTAGATTAAAAAATAGAATATTTGTAATGATTTTGATACAATTCTTATTTTTCACAAAAAGCACCCTTTGTATACTAATGTTACATTCAACCCTTGGGAAAGTTTTAATTTTCGGGATCATTCGAATAGATGACGTAGAAGAGTGGAGAGAGTTTCGAAGGACGCTTAGACTTTATTTCACAGGTATACTCGCAGAAACGAACACATGAGAGGACGTACTTTTTATCGCTCTGGAATATGGGTCAATGTCCTGAAGGGACGCTATAACATGTTTTTGACGAGCAATGCCAATGTCGGTCCGAATTTTGAGGAACTTAATCCTTATAATTCGGGACCGGACCACGTGCTTTTCTCTGAAAAGCAGTGAGAGTGAGTACAAAGGCTTTTGATTCTACAATAAATTGAAATTGGTGCAAGTCATTTTTATTAACAATATTTTAGTTTATTATTAAATCAAAAATTACTTAGAATTATAATATTTTAAGTAGTTGTATCTACATTTGCAACTATTATTATTTTAACATATTGTAAGAGTAATCTAGTATTCCTGATTTAATTTTGTATTGCAGTATTAAGTTCTATAAACTAATTACTATGAGCTATTTAATAAAGAGTTGTACATTATGAAATGCTCGGTGAGTTACTTAAATTATTAATCGCAGAATTATTAATTAGTTACAAGAGACAAGTATACATGTCTTTTGCCAGAGTTAAACCATAAGGCGAGCATGAGTCATGTGCGTGCGTGCGTTAATGCTATAAAAATTTGTTTATCGCGAATCACTTGTTTCTAAATAAACATTTTTTTCGGCTGGAAACTTTTCTCGGATTCGTGTTATCGGTTTTATTTGTTTATCCCTTGCTTTATTGAATGTTGCGAGACGAAGAAATCGTGGAATTCATTTGACGTAACTTGAGTCATTAGTGTCTCACGCCAACTTAAATTGTACGCTACTCACAGGCAGATTGACGACCGGAGTCGCCTCGCACATGTCTCTCTCAGCACAACTTTTTTTGCAGGGAGATAAGCGTCGGATTCATTGAACTTGCGAGAAACTTGCACGAATAGGAATCGATCACTAGTGATCCAACTTTGTACGATAAGGGTTAAATATTAAAACGGTACGTCGTTAACATTACATTAAAAAACCGTCGCTGACATCTATACATGTAGACGTGATTTGTATGTCCAAATTTTGACATAAAATAAGTGCAAACGTTATTTCCATGAGATTTTATACAATTTATTGATATTCGTTTATATTTTTATTATTCTTTCTTAATAGAAAATACGTATAGAATTGTTTTTTTTTTTGGTAAATCTTAAGATGAGCCCTTGCACTTCCGATTTTGATAAAACTAGGCTCGATCATTCGACGCTTTTATACATAGCGTTTATGCATCAAATGATGTTATATATTAGGGCTACATTCCAAAATGTACTCTCCGAAGAAAATTTTACTTTACATATTGTAATACATATACATTGTAATACTCTACATATACATTACGTGTATATTTATATACTACAGTAGCATTATAAATGTGTCAATTTGACGTAAAATTTGTTTTTAAATTGTATTAAAGTATTAGTTTTTTATGTTAATTTAACACAAAAATTTGGATGGCCTGTTTGAGACATGTAAAATGTGTTAAATTAAACACAAAATTTTTTACTGAGTATCTATTTTTTTTATTATGATATTAACAACATATGTCAAATTTAGATAACATCGGGAGCATTTTTTGAAGGATCTGTGCTTATTGTATACCTATGTGGCGCATTAATACAGCTTTATATTCTGTGCTTCTGCGTTCATCAACTATTAGAAGCGGTAAATTTTATTGAAAAGATTTTATTATTTCTTCATTTCGGTTACACTAACAATTTTTATTAGAAGAAGTTTTTATATTATGAAAAATATCTGTTTATACGAAATATAGCCATTTTATAATTTTAAAAGTAACTGAAAGTGAAATACAATCAGTAAATGTGAGCATGTTAAATTATGTATAATAAGTTGATAGTAATCAATATTTTTGTGTATTATCATCCTCTGAAAAATTTAGAGCAAAGAACTAACAGATAAAGCATTCCACGAAAAGTGGTATCAATTTGGACCATCCTTGAAACATATATTCAGAATGATTATGGTATCTAATAATTTAAAGACAAAATTGTCTATTTCTGAAAAATTTAATTTGTCTCTCCCTTCATTTTTAGCGGTAAGATTAATATGTTATATATTAATAGATCTTGGAGTATACATATATTAAATAGGCTAATATTTAATATTATTATCTTAAATGCATATTAAATGCATGTTCTAATACTATTATTGACACGATCATGACAACTTTGATTCCTCAAAATCAAAGTAATTTTCGAAAGTATTTTTAGCAAAAAAGCGATAAAAATAGTAAAAAAAATAATAAAAAAATAGTAAAAATAGTAAAAAAATTCTCTAGTTAACAGATACCAAAATAATTAATAATTTCAAACAGAAAAAACGGGGCGAACTTCGCTTCACGTGAAAAGTCGTGTACCCCAGGCGAAAGATGAAGTAAAAGCAATCATGCGAATTTCAGTCCGTTTTTGCAGCACGATTAATAAAAAGGGTATAGGCGGACACATAACGCATGCGTAAGTGTACATGGATATGGATTCATCGTAGTGTCTTCTTATACCCTCTTCATGCTATTAACCGTGCTGTAAGCGAGCTGGAATTCGCATTACTTGGTGAAAGTCGCTTTGTGTGGAAAGTTATACGCTCCGAAGCAGGGAAAACAGTAAGGTGGAAGTCACTTCGCTTGGGAAATCGTGCGTCCTTTGATAAGAGAAGGGATTGGAATGGATATTGCTTCGCGTGGAGTCGTCCGCTAAGAGCAGGGAGAAAATAAAGTCGCTTCGGCCCGCAAGTAGAGGAAGAATATTTTTGGAGAATATTTTTACTAATGTTCTCGTATTTCTTGCTATGAATGGTTTCGAAAATTACTTTTATTTTGAGGAGACAAAGTTATTGTGATCGCCTCTTGTTATTAGTTATTATTATCACTAATTTATTTTTACAAGTACTATTACTTTTAACAATTTTCGAGCTATTACCAGAGATACTAATACTTAAGCATATTTTCAAATATCATTCTTAATTTTTAAGTATTGTTTTAGATTTTAAATCAATCATATTCGATTGCTATTTTGCTTTTAAAAGTAAAATGAAAATTGACATGGATCTTAATTGCATCGATATCTTGTACACATATTTAATAGGTAATGAAATTTGATTATATGAATAATCACATATTATTACTAAAATTTGTATTATTTATTTCAGAACAAAACATTTTACAAAATAAGGAATGAAAGACTATAACTGATAAATAGAACACCTAAGTAGATATTATCCAATTAGCATCTTAGAAAACATAAAGTTTCATTGTTAACATGCAATATACATGTCGGAAGTTTATATTATTTTTCTTCAACTTTTTGATAAAATCAAATTACATCATTATAATTTTAATGTGTGAATGAAAAACTTAAAAAGGTTAATGGAGGATTATGTAATAATAATATATATAGTTTTCTTTTCAAAAATAAGAAAAAACTTTAAGCACGATGAAAATGTAGATTCATAGAACATTATTAGCATTTGAATTTATTGTAAATCAAAAGATTGCAGTTTTCTATCTATTGAAGAACACTTAGAATAGCATTAGCACTGTGATTTCTTTGCAACTCTGTGACATACGTTGGCGCGCAATTATTGTAATACATAGTATCATAAAATAATCATTGCTTTTCAAGGTACATGTGTAGCTACAGGAAAACCGGTGATACTATTTACCCCTATAATAAATGCAAAAAATTGTTCTACATTTAACATCTTTCTTAATGTGAACTTATTCATTCCAATATCTCTTCGCAATAAAACACAGGGCTGTTTCAAATAGTCCAGAGATACTTTATATCGTCGACGATATTAAGTTCCAATATCTACACAATGATCGCAGAAGGATTAATAATTACGATGAACAGGCAGAATATCATCGTTTTGTAGCATATAACCCATAATAAAAATTGAACAATAGAATTATTCTATAGAAATGATGTCTATTGATTGTCTATTCTATAGATTTTGAGAATAGAGGGGATGCTGGAGCGAAGGCCGAACTTGATCAAGGTCGATATTACAGGTTTTCATTTCCAATGTATAAGCTGCTTACGCCCTCTGAAGTTAATATGATCATGCAGGAAATTCGATTGATTAATTATCGATATTTTTATTCTGTTTCCTACATTACCATCTTAACAAGGACGTGTATTAGGATCGATCCCACAATGTAAGATTTATTTTGGAAAATTTTCCAATTTTAGAATTGAAAAAAAAATAAACATAATTGAAGTTAATCTTATATTTGTAGAATCGGACCTTAGAAATTTAGTTACATTATATACATATTTAGTTGTATTATATACACATGCAATGTAGGCCGTGTTCTAATATATATCACCAGTACTAAAAGTCTGTAATATATATAAAATACAGATTTTTAATTAATAAATATATCGATACGAAGCAGTAATAGCACTTTTTTCTTACATCCAATGCCATTTTAGGTTACGATAATATATTATCATAAATGAATATCATAATATGTATACATATGGATATTCATGCAGATATTCTCTATGTCCATTTTTATGCAATATTAAAATTTTATATTATAATGTGTATAATGATATATAAA